TATGCCCTGAGGCAATAATAAAGTTATTATTTATTTCCTTATATATCATGATAAAATTTTATTATTCATGCTAGAATTGTATTAACCGGAAACATAATACATGTGTGAATACATGGACAAACAGAGTGTCACTAGTATGCCTCTACTAGACTAGCTTGTTAATCAAAGATGGTTATGTTTCCTAACCATGGACAAAGAGTTGTCATTTGATTAACAGGATCACATCATTAGATGAATGATCTGATTGACATGACCCATTCCATTAGCTTAGCACCCGATCGTTTAGTATGTTGCTATTGCTTTCTTCATAACTTATACATGTTCCTATGACTATGAGATTATGCAACTCCCGTTTGCCGTAGGAACACTTTGTGTGCTACCAAACGTCACAACGTAATTGGGTGATTATAAAGGAGCTCTACAGGTGTCTCCAAAGGTACATGTTGGGTTGGCGTATTTCGAGATTAGGATTTGTCACTCCGATTGTCGGAGAGGTATCTCTGGGCCCTCTCGGTAATGCACATCACTTAAGCCTTGCAAGCATTGCAACTAATGAGTTAGTTGCGGGATGATGTATTACAGAACGAGTAAAGAGACTTTCCGGTAATAAGATTGAACTAGGTATGGGATACCGACAATCGAATCTCGGGCAAGTAACATACCGATGACAAAAGGAACAACGTATGTTGTTATGCGGTCTGACTGATAAAAGATCTTCGTAGACTAGTGGGACTAATGGGCTGACCCGGCCTGGACCTTTGCCCCCTTTTCTACTAGTGCAATGACCCATATGATCAGGAGGATACAGAGCCAGAGGAGGATTCTATGGGACATGATGATGACGATGAGCATGATTCTGATGCCGCACCTACCCAGAGTTCAGACGAACATCCAGAACCAAGAGTTATGCATCATGTTAATCCATTTCCATTCATGCGTACATGTGGACAGAATGGTGTGAGAGCCTTTGGTGACATATCTATACTAACAGAGACGACAGCAAATGAAAGTTTTTTTGGATGCAAGAAACACTTTCAAAGACCATTGTCAGAGCAGCAATTTTTTGATTCAAAAGAGCACCTAAAAATTGCGATTGGTGAATTTCACATAAACATGAACTTGGAAGTGAATTATAGCACAAGTAGTCAATCTAAACTTGTAGCAGAGTGTATCGATGACAGTTGCATGTGGAGGTTGTATGCAATACCAACAAAAATTGGTTCATGCTGGCAAATAAGGAAATGTCCTTATTCTCACACTTGTCGTGCACCGGCTAATAGAACTGACCATTCTCAGTTATCGGCCTCTATAATTGCAGATGTTATCCGTGAAGCACTCAAGGATGACCTAGAGTTGAGTATAAAAAATGTGCGGGCATTGGTCAAACAACGTTACAGAAATGCGAGACCATCATACAATAAGTTGTGGCGTGGAAGGGAGAAGGCCATAGCACAACTTTTTGGTAGCTGGGAAGGATCATACAATCTTCTCATCCCTTTCCTTGAGGCTATTAAAGTAAAAAATCCAGGTACAAAGTATGTTCTTCTATCAAAACCCATGACATTAGAAGGGCATAGAGAATTTTGATGTGTTGCTTGGGCATTTGGACCTTGCATTGTAGCAGTTCCCCACCTTCGACCTGTAATAAGTGTGGATGCATCATTTCTATCAGGAAGGTACAAGGGCCGATTGATAATGGCATGTGGATATGATGCTAATAATAGGTTAATACCTCTTGCATTTGCCATTGTTGAGAAAGAGGACGCTACGAACTGGGGCTAGTTCATGAGATGGTTGCGGAGGGAGGTAATTGGTGTTGGAAAGTTCATGTGTGTGATTTTAGATCGCCACAGAGCAATTAAATGGGTGTTTAAGCAGCCACACCTTGGGTGGAACGAAAGTGCTGGCGAGTGTGTGCATCGTTTTTGCTCTCAACATGTCGCAGAGAACCTATACAAAGCTTTTCATGATGTTAACATTTTGAAAGTTTTCAAGTGGGCAGTAAAAAAAAGAAACCTCGTAGATTTGAGGAGGGCATGTCATCTATTGAACATACTTGTCCTGATGCAATAACATATCTTAGAAAGGTCGGTAAGTATTTGCAGGAAGACAAAAATGAGCAAGAGAAGCCTGAGAAAGTATTTCAATGCAAGGTTGGGGGTTACCGGTGGGGGATCATGACAAGCAATGGGTTCGAGTCCTTAAATAATGTGTTCAGGCTTTCTCGAAGGCTACCGATGGCAGCAATTGTGGAGGAGACATTTTCAAAGTGCTTAGAGTGGTTTGTAGAAAGAAGGCGAAGTGCTCTTAACTTGGTTGACGGAGGCAACCAATGGTCCAAACGGGTGGACAAGCTATTGGTTAAAAGGGCCGACAAGGCACGACATATGCATGTTATTTCATATGGTGATGAAATTGGAATATTTGAGGTCAAGCTTGACAATGAGAGGGTTGGATTACACAATGGAGATCATGTTCTTTTTATTCATAAAGACTTCAAGTACAAGGTCGCTCTCCAACCAAATACTGCTCCATCTTGTGACTGCCTAAAGCCAAACCTGACCGGTGTGCCATGTGCTCATTTGCTTGCTGTTTGCAAGTACAGGAATCTAAATGAAAATCAAATAGTTCATTCATATTATTCTTCTGAAGTACTTGCAAACACTTGGGCTGGACAAGTTCATCCTTACGGGAACCAAGAGTGGCCAACATATAATGGCCCGATTATTGTTCTTGATGAGAACTTAATAAATCATGGGCGGCGTCAACATAAAAGGATTCCGATGTACATGGATGAGATGCAAGGAAGGAGAATGGGACGCCAAGCCTGACGTACGACTGCAGACAATAACCAAACATGTATATAAAGTAGTTTTGTAGTGGTGGTTTAGATGCAAACTTATTTTCACTTGATTTTAATATTCTGTATGTACTATTTCACTGTACGTACATCATGTAGCCAAGGACAGACCATTTCATCGAGTCGAGGACAGACTGGAGAGAGGTCGAGTCAAGAGAAGAGCACATCATCCAAAGGAAAGAGGCCGAATCAAGGGAAGAGCACAACATCCAATGGAAAGAGGACATGTCAGGGGACGAGCATATCATCCAGAGAGAAGAGGTCGAGTAATAAGAAAAGCACATCATGCAACCAATGATGGACGTGCTTACTGATTTGCATTTACGTTCGCACATTTTCCTTAAGATGTAAACAAAATTATACTCCGGATACGAGTTTGAAACTATTTTCTGGATGTGAGACACGAACCAAAAAAATAACTTTGAGCAAAGGAATTCATATTCTGCAGCGAATTGAAGAACCTGACCTCCCCGCAGACATGACATTCGATTTATTTTCCTTTCACTGTAGCAATCTGGAATATTCTCATGAATGCGTGGCACAACAAAGCCAAAAAAGTTTTGCAGTTTCCTGTGACATGTCACAAGCTGCCACTATTCGATATGCCCTCTGTACTTTACAACCAAAATATGTTCACTTAACAGGAACTGTAGCAACAACCTAAAACTGAAGCAGTACCAAGAATTCTAACTTGAAAGCCATTCTTTAGTAACCATGGCAGGATACTTTCAGTACAACATCAGTCATACTTTCCAGCTTTCAGTTTAAGTTGGTAGATAACAAGTTGCACTAGACAACTAGAATGAAGTAGAAAATGTCTGAAATCAAACTCAGACAAATTTAGCATTTGGTGACAACATGATGCCATATTCATACAAGGTAGGTTGCCACATGAACTTATCAAATAAGGAGTGAGAAAACTTAGTTTTTAAACTATTACAATCCATATTGGGGATGGCCATTCTAATCAACTGCTTGCTACGGACTCCTAGATTGATGCCTACTAGTTCTAACCAGCTCATTAGAGTTGGTCTGTTGGGTCACTTGACCTACATCTTGTGTTGTAGGTTCTCCATCGCTCATTGCTTCACCAGCCTTCAAGTATGTTGTAAAACCTTTGCTAGAGTATATCCATTCATTAAACACATTAGAATTGCTCTCTTTTGGGGGGCTTGGTGGCTGAGCAATATAGGAAGCATCATCGTCAGATGGAATATCTTCAATCTTCAGTGGTAACCTAGCCTCAGTGAGCATGCTTTGCAGCCTAGGCTCCAAGTTCAGATCTGACAAATTTCCTACACAGGACCTCAATACAGATTTCCCTATCTTCTTGCATCTACTAGTAGTAGCACATTTTATCCCCCATGTGGCATTCTTTAACTCACGTAACCCCTACAAGTGACAAAACAAATATTGCATTACACATTTATTACTATATAATGCAAATAATACAATTAAAGTGTTGCACACACTTACAATTCGAGCCAGTGGCGGACCACTAGGCATGTAGCCAGTCCATTCGATACTATCTCGAGGATATGGAATAGATTTATCTAGGCCGCCCAAGCACTGAGAATCGAAGAATACTGTGTACATACCATTTTGTTGGAACCAATGTCTGTAATCAGGGAAACTAGCTACATCGAAGGGAATTTCTTCTGACAACACACTTGCTTGAACGCGATTGTATTCTTGAACGTAATTGACATGGAATTCCTCCCAATTATGCGATTTTCCTGCAGAATGCTTAATTTTTCGCTGTCTCCGAAGCTCTGCCTCGCCACGTGGAATAGAAGGTGGAATGGCCTGTCTTAATCCAAATTGTCGCATCACCCTATCTGGATAGTGAAACTCCACAATTCAACAATGCATGAGTGGTACTCTAGCATACCACCAACCAGAATCATCATGAACTTGGATAGGCATCTGTTCCAGAAGATCATCATATGGTTGCCAATCAATTGCACCTTCTCGAATCAAATCAATCTGATTCCGATAGTATTCATTACCTATATATATTTCATTGCAAGGTAAGAAAAATATTTGTGGTAGCACAAATGACGTGTAATAAATTTAGTTATTAGAATACAATACCAGCATTATGAGGGACATCAAATGCGTGTGCAGCACACCACTTTGCTCAAAAAACAGGGTTATAATCCAAATGTACTTCTTCATCTTCCTCTTCTTCAGGTTCCTCTCCTTCTTTAGGCTTCTCAAAAATAACTTTAGGACGACCAAGTGGCAAACGGGACCAAGACCATAATTGTAGTAGCAATAAAGGCCCTGAAATTTCTAGTCTCTCCTTCTCAGCACACATGCTCAATTGTCTATACAACAGAGCAAGAGTAGCTACTCCCCAATTATACTCTGTTGGCTGTCCTAAAATTTGCATAAATTGGAGATACATAGCTGGCACTCCATCTCCAGATGTATCCGTAAGGACTATGGAGCCAAGGATTCCTAGAACAAGTGCTCGAGCATGCCAATTAATATCCCTATCCATTGGATTATCCGGCAACACATGGAAGCGTTCTCGTAGTTTTCCCAAATTTAGAGAGTATTGTGAATCCCTCACAACAATATTATCATCACTTTTTCTCCTTTTCTTTTGTTTCATGTGTTGTTCATCCATGGGAATCCCAAGCAACCTCTCAACTAATTCCGACCATGGCGCATCAGCTATGCCAACAAGTGGTTTACCATGGATAGGCAGCCCCCACAAACAACTGACGTCTTGCAGTGTAATAGTCATTTCTCCTACAGGTAAGTGAAAACTATTTGTCTTGGGCCGCCAACGTTCCACCAACGCTGATATCAAGTATTTGTCGACATTGATTTTCCTCATCATTGCAATCTGATAAAAACCAAGGTTCTCTAAAGCTGGCCTACATAGAGGATCAAATGGGATGCCAACATGATGACACCGTACGTTCAAGGAAACATTAGGCTGCATTAATACAAACAGAAATCAGTTTAAGCCAAACACCAAGTATAACAGACCACATGCAAATTCAACAAAGACTCACATTTTCCCAAGATTTGGATATTTTATGTTGGCTGTGAGGCATCCATAATAAATCACTAAAATGCCCATTTGTATTCATTTCAGTACCCTGTCACAAGATAAAAGGAACAAGTAAGCCTTCGGAGTGCACTACATCAATCATTTGCATTTATTCTTCAGAGTATTAGATAAACCTCAGTAAATCATATTATCTCTCAGTAAGAGCTATGCTTATGAAACCAATGGCAAATCACTAAAGCAGCCGCATGAGCAATATCAATCATTTACTGTCAACTACATACAAGTACCAGGTTGCACACTTCCAGTCATGAAAATTCAGGAATAGAATTTTTTTTGGCACAATATCAATACCAATCTATTAATCAGAAGAAGAGAAAAATACCATGCAATACATAGAAGATATCTGCTAGCATCTACTGTAGTGTGCTATTCAATTGGAGATCAGGAAGAACATACAGTTTGAGGGAAAAATAACAGTACCTACCGTCCTGTGCTCCGGCGGCTGACGATTGAGGCTGCGAGGAATGCAGGGACGAGGAACGGAACAGACGTGGTGACCGCGGTCGAGAGAAGATAGAAGGGCCGTCAACTGCGCCAATCTCGCCGTGGTGGCGCAACCTACTTTGACAGTGAGGAGGTGGACGAGGGGATTACAGGGAGGCGGCCTTGAGGAGTTTGGCGAGAGATGAGGTGGAGGGCGGAGGCGGCCGTGGATAGGTGGTCGCGGGGATCAAAGGTGGAGGGCGGCGGCGGCCGTGGATATGTGCTCGCGGGGACGAGAGGTGGAGGGCGGCGGCGGCGGCCGTGGAGAGGTGGCCGAGGTGATAATGGGCCAAAGTTGCTGGATTGCGGATGGGGCCCAACCTAACGGTGGCCGTGATCGATGCTAGCGCCCCGATCTGGACGTCGCTTATACTAGCGTCCGCGTGTGGACGCTGTAATGCCTAGCGTTCTTCCTATTTCTCAAATTAGGAATTATCCTTTCCTTGTTTCATAATTCCGTGATTATTAATTACTATTAATAAAAAATTCGGAGAAAAGAAGCAGCCCATGGAGATATGCTATAGAAAGGCCCACACAGATGGCTCGCTTACTATGCATCTTTCCAACCAACCATGCAAAAAAAACTATGCATCTTTCCTTATTGCTGCCGATAGATCCCGTACGTACGTGTGCGATGTCCCCCCTAGGCTGTTTTATCCGTTTGTGGAAGCTTTTAGTCGGTAGATTTGATATTAGTTTTTCTCTCAAGCACGCCAAGGTGACCAAAGCGAGGCAGGGTAGATTGCTACTCTCTCCGTTCTGTACTAAATCAGCGACTATTAATATGGATTGGAAGGAGTAGTAAAATATAGACTAAATTCTACACGTGTTTGATGATAAGTTGGTGGTTATTAGACATGTACTTGAAGGTGTTTCCTAATGAAGGTCATAGTAATTTTCTGTATTACTAAGAGCAACTCTAGCAGACCCCGCATCCCGTCGGCCCGCAAAACGTGTTTGCAGTTCACGCAAAACCGCTTTTGCACTATTAATATGGATTGGAAGGAGTAGTAAAATATAGAATAAATTCTATACGTGTTTGATGATAAGTTGGTGGTTATTAGACATGTACTTGAAGGTGTTTCCTAATGAAGGTCATAGTAATTTTCTGTATTACTAAGAGCAACTCTAGCAGACCCCACATCCCGTCGGCCCGCAAAACGCGTTTGCAGTTCACGCAAAACCGCTTTTGCGGGTCGGCGCGGGCTGGCACAGATGCAGACTCCCCCAAACAGATTCGTAAAAAAGTATATTCGTGAAATATGCCTTTTTACGGGTCGGCGTTTATGGGATCTGCTCGGGCACCACCGCGACGACCCGCAAACAGATAAACTGCAAATCTCGCATTTGATATAGGATTTCACAAACAAGTTCAAATTCAAACGACATAAACAGTTTCACGCGCAAATAGAAGCCAAGTTCATTACGGCTAACGCAAAAGAGGGCCCTGCAAAAGGTTTGCGCCCATGTCCGGCATCATCTTGATCGATCTTCACTCCGCGCCATCGAGTCCATCTTGAAGTTCATCGGCGCCACCGAATCCACCTCCGGCGCTTGTTCCAACTCCCGCACCGAAATCATCCACATTGACACCATATGGAGTGGAGAAAACATCACCGGATCTGTAGCACGGACCGGCCGACGCCACCATTCTTCTCTTCAAGATTTCTTTCCTTGCCATATCATGCCATGTTTTGGTGAGGTCGTCCATGTCATTGCGGTTCATTGACATGATCTTGTTCTCTTTGGCGAGCAACATGGACATGGATTTGTTTTCAGCGGCGCGTGCTCTTCTCTCCTCGATGGCAGCTTTGCGCAGCCCCTCTTCTTTGAGCAACTGCCACTTTTCTTGCTTCTCCTTCACCTTCTTCTCGGCCAACTCTTTCTTGATCTCCAGCGACTTCAACAACATCGACTCGTTGGATTGCACCATGGCATCAATCTTCTCCCTCAAGCTCGATGCTTCCTGATCTCTCTTCATCTTCTCCTTAGTCTTCTTGTCGCCATTGAGCTTGTGCAAATTTCTTGGGCCATCATCATCCTCATCTTCATCCATGTTTGTAAGTGAGCCTCTCTTTGGTGGGGATTCTTTGTCGATCAACTTTCACTTCTCGCATTTTTGGAGCAACTCCCAACAATGCTCTATTTTGAAAATTTTGCCTTCCAAAGCTTCCATGTCCTTGTATCTATGTTGAGCAATCTTGTCCTACACAATGTGAACAAAGTGATCCAATCATTTCCCATGATGCAATATGATGATGCACAATTTAAACAAAGGCAAAACAAACTCACATAGTCGGACTCCACGGTGCCACTTGGAGGTGCATTGCGGACTTGCTCCAAGCAAGCTGCCCAATGGCTACACATAGGCTTGATATTCTCCGAACACCTTTGAAGCGACCGAAATGTGCGTGGAGTCCTATTGGGATCCTTTGCCATAATGCGGAAGTATCACTACTAGGGAAAACCCTAGTAGTAGCGCAGATTTAATGCCCACTAGTAGCGCGGGCTGCCGCGCTACTAATAAGGCGCTACAATTATTACTTAGCAGTAGCGCGTGCGACACGCGCTACTGCTAAGACACATAGTGGTAGTGCTTGTTCGCTCCCGCGCTGCTGCTAATCTAGCTAGTTGCAACATGTTTACTATCCATCGGTACTAGTATTCTTTTTTTTCATTTTTTTTATTTTTAGTGTATTTATACCCCATTATATAAATTTTGGTACAATACCAATTATGAGGTTTATATCATTATGCCCATAACAGTGTGTCAAATAAAGGTGGATTAGGTTCAAGTGGAGGCAATATGTGGTGCATGTCAAAAGTATATTACTAATCTAAACTTGATCTAGTTTGGACTAGTAGTACTTTCGATGTGCACCACAGGTTGCCTCCACTTGAATCTAATCCGCCAGCACAAGCTATTTAATCATCATTATAGTCGTTATCACCAACAGTATTTATTTAATCACCATAGTCATAGTGTAGCACATCATCATGCGATCAAACTCATTCTAGCTAGCTAATCACCACCAACACTAGATGTGGTAGCTATCTAATCACCACCAACACTAGCTAATAATAATCATCATAGTCATTACCACCAACACTAGCTATTTAATCATCATAGTCATAGTGTAGCACATCACCATCTTCAAACTCATTTCTAGCTAGCTAATCACTCCTGTTGCTCTCTCTTAGGTAAAATAACATAAAACATGTGTAGCTCTCCTCCTTCATCAAGTTAGAGCATGCAGATGAACCTGTCTCCTAATCGTGGGCTGCGCTTCTGATTGCTGCCCTCTATTACTTCCCTGCACTCCTCCATCACAAATTTGGTCCAGTCTTTCACTATTAAGCATTGCTCGCTATTAGAAATCATGAATGCACTAAAGTGCATTTTAGGATATCTTGGCCGTAAGCTAACAATACTCATGGTACCTTTAGTCTCGATCCCATGAGGCACAAAATTCATCGGGATTCCCTGTTGAAGAACATCGTATAGTAACATACTTAGCAATGAAGTTTAGCTTAAAAATAATGTATGCAAAAGATGCACTGAGAACAAATAGTAAAAATCTTACCATCTTTCCTAAATAGATGTGACCGTAGTTCATTACGAACACTATTGGTCGCACATCTTCAGTACTAACATTTCTAAGTGCAGGAAGAAAATTTGTCTTGACAGTATCAAGATCCTCAAGCCATGAAACATAATGACTTAACTCCTCGCAGTTTAGTTCAACCCCGGGACAGTAGTAGGTCCTGTCTACTAAGCGCTGGACATGTTTGCTTGAACGGAAATAAGCTGACAATAGAAATTAGTTGTCAACTATTTTTAAATAAACAATATCAAAGACATAAATATGGTTGAGAAACTCACATAATGGTATAACTAGAGGCGTCTGCACATCGAGCCAGATGTTGATATTACCTTCAATATCATCTTCCGGACGAATATCAAAGGTGATAACCATATCATGCTCAAATGCATAAGTCTTGCATAGTGCTCGCCAAGTTTTGCATCCAAAATAGGTGTAGTCGTCTCCGTTGTATAATTTTACGTGGAAAATACAACCATGCTCGGTCTTCAAGTAAACTTTCTTTACCTCCATAGTATGACTGAAACCTATCTTATCCAAGACAAAAACTCTTGCATGGCAGGGGATACGCTAGTAGAATAGTAAAAAGATTAAATTATAAGTTGAAGCAAATGAAGCAGATGTCATGCTTAATTACGAAAAAAGACTTGTCATTGTGACTTACTGTATCCACTTCGAAGTTCACGTCCAGCTTGATGTTGAAGTGTTGGGGAACGTAGTAATTTCAAAATTTTCCTATGCACACGCAAGATCATGGTGATGCATAGCAACGAGAGGGGAGAGTGTTGTCCAGGTACCCTCGTAGACCGAAAGTGGAAGCGTTAGCACAACACGGTTGATGTAGTCGTACGTCTTCACGATCCGACCGATCAAGTACCGAACGTACGACACCTCCGAGTTCAGCACACGTTCAACCCGATGACGTCCCTCGAAC